AGGTGTGTTGAGGCAAGTTGGAGCTAAACTCTGCAGGACATCGGCTCTCCAGGACCGAGTTTTGGCACCCCTGGTCTAAATAGACAAATTGAAAGCAAAAATTGGACCGCATTTTTGTTCCAATCAAGGAATTTATCTTGGTATAAACAGGCTTTTTTATTAAGGCTGCGTTTTAACCGAAAAAAAAAAAACTTAAATACACTACATCAGTTTTTTCTAGAAAGCTAGTTGATTTAAAAGTCAAGTTAGAATTCAAACTTAATTAAAACTTAGAAATTTTAAACTAGCTTGAATCATTTGCTTTCGACATCCTCCTTTTAGATTGATTCTTTTTTGTTTATAAATCTGCCACAAACATTAAAATGAGGCAGGCTTTTGTTTCATAAGCTTGTTTTTTTGGTATACGCCGGTTTGTTTTGTTGTTATATTGATAGGATGAAGTTGTTTTGCTATGATGGTGTGGAGTGGAGCGACAACAGAGACACTGGTTATGATTCCTTGAATGTTCTGACTGACAGACGTCAGGTCACTGAGAGCACAGAGAATGAGCCAGATGTGACGAGTTTATGTGAGATAAAGCAGTGGAGTAAAAGCCTCTAAATGCACTATACGAGCACATCTTGAGGTGATTTTGAGTGACAATTAATGAAGCTTGACAGCCTTTATGAGCAACTGAAATTACGCAGGTAAATTACGCATTTTAGTGACAGGCCTGTAGTGTCAGTGTGTTGTGATCGTGCAGAAGTGGGTCTGTTCTTTGTCATTTTTTTTCTTCAACTCCTTTTTAAAGAGAGACTAATTGTATGTCTGTTTTTTTTTTCCTCATTGTAAGTAATGACCTTACAGATTCAAAGATAAGCTAGCTTGAATATCTCTCTTCCATTCAGTACAGTTACAAATGTTTACAGTATCTAATTAACCAAATAGAAGATGTATTTTCAGACATGCTCTGTCTGGTCCTGAAAGGAGTCTGTTAGATGGGGTTTCTTGTCTTTTTTGTGCCTCTGTTGTTTTAAACTTGAAGATTTTGTTTTCATTTTTTGTTCAACAGTGCTCCCTCACCTCACATATTTTCTTCTGAATAAAAAGGAAGTTTAATATGGTCTGTTAGGTTGCAGCTGTGACCCAGAGCAGGTTTGCTAGCTTTCTTCTTCATTGATTTTTTTTTTTTTCCATAGCAGACATATTTTTCTTTTTCAAGTCTCAAGTTACATAGAATAATAAAAGTCCAGATGGAAAGTTTATAATAATTATAGACTGAATTCTAACTTCCTTCTATAGTCTCAGCCAAAGCAAGAACTAAAATTAGCAGTTCTTTATTCCTCTTCTGTCTTTCTACGACAAGATATAGACTGAAAAGCAAGATACAGCAGGGCCAAATGTTTAATAGACTTCTGTTTTTGTTCTATTATAACTTAGCGTATGAAATACATTTTTCATGCATGGTGGTTATGACATAACTATGAAAGCTTACTTTTTATATCATAATTCTGAATTGTGAGATTTTTATCCCATGGTGGAAAAAGCTTTCATACATAACCACTAATTATACTTTACCTCGTTAAACTAAACTAAATGATACCTTTCTGTCTTGTTTCCCCTGAGTGTGTGAAGTAGTCTGTTGAAGATAATGCACACCAAAGTGCCATCAGACATGGAGGACGGGGAGCACTGTTTGTTACCCAGTACAGTTCTACTGGATGCGTGTGCACAAACTTTATGTACATACTTTTATTTCCTTTTACTACTTCTGTTCTCTCCAATCTGTTTTTGGGTGCAGATTTTTCTGTGTACAGTTTGCATCAGTGTTGTTTGTCTTTCAAACAGGTACACAAGCATTACAGAGATACGGCTCTTTAATAGGTAGATGGAATTATTTTTAAGACAGCAAGCTTTTTTTCCTCTTCTGTCTTTCAACGACAAGATGTATACTGAAAAGTAAGATACAGCAGGGCCAAATATTTAATAGACATTTGTTTTTGTTCTATTATAACAGAGTATGAAATAAAATTTTCATGCATAGTGGTTATGACATAACTATGGAAGCTTAGTTTGTGTCACAATTCTATCTTTTTTCTGGCACGTCTGAGTGGGAAAAAAAGTTGGAATTGCGAGATATAAAGTCAGACTTGTGAGATATAAACTTGCAATTGTGAGGGAAAAATTAACAATTGTGAGATAAAAAGTTGGAATTACTTTATTATTATTTTTTCCAATGGCGGAAACACAAAACAGAATTTTATATATATAATATATATATATATATTGTGAGTTTATATCATAATTCTGAATTGTGAGATTTTTATCCCATGGTGGAAAAAGCTTTCATACATAACCACTAATTATACTTTACCTCGTTAAACTAAACTAAATGATACCTTTCTGTCTTGTTTCCCCTGAGTGTGTGAAGTAGTCTGTTGAAGATAATGCACACCAAAGTGCCATCAGACATGGAGGACGGGGAGCACTGTTTGTTACCCAGTACAGTTCTACTGGATGCGTGTGCACAAACTTTATGTACATACTTTTATTTCCTTTTACTACTTCTGTTCTCTCCAATCTGTTTTTGGGTGCAGATTTTTCTGTGTACAGTTTGCATCAGTGTTGTTTGTCTTTCAAACAGGTACACAAGCATTACAGAGATACGGCTCTTTAATAGGTAGATGGAATTATTTTTAAGACAATAAAAAGATGGGTCTATTGCACCTTCTTGTCTGTTGTCATCACTTGGATCTTGTGATGTGTGATGTGATCCGAACATCTGTTGCTTTTACAACGAATGTCATGCTGAAGCAGCAGAAAGTACCGTGACCCAGAACTTAGTTGTGTCAGTTGTCTTTTGACAAACACTTTGGCGTGTGCCCTTACATTACCTGAGGGTGGAAAAATCTGAGCAACTATAGCGCCGACCTAGAGAATGTTTCATTGTTTGACCTACAGCTGGATCAGGATAGTTTTAAATCTTGAAATATGCTGCTAACACTTTTATGCTGCCCTTCCTAATAATAGCTGCTTGACGCACATATAAAGTGAATGTTCCTTGTTCCGTCTGTTCATGAATTAACCTATTTATTCCCACAAATTCCCCAGTGAAGGGAAATTTTCGCCAATTGCATAGTCAAATGAAACAACTCGCATGCCTTGAAAAAACAAGTTAGTGCAGGTGTGTGTGTTATATTGTGTTTTTAATTCACAATTGGAACTAGTGGTGAAAAACAAAGTGAAAAATTACTCGGTCATTAAGAAGAAATTATTGAATTTATTATTTTAAAATGATTCTTTTAAAGAAGCAGTTCACTTCCAGAATGAAAATTCTGCCATCATTTACTCACCCTCCACTTGTTCCAAACCTGTATCAGTTTCTTTCTTCTGTTGAACATAAAAGAAGACATTTTGAAAAATGTTGGTATCCGAACAGTTTATGGGCACCATTGGCTTTTTTTCCTACTATGGAAGTCAACAGTGCCCATCAACTGTTCGGATACCGACATTTTTCAAAATGTCTTCGTTTGTGTTCAACAGAAGAAAGAAACTGATACCGGTTTGGAACAAGAGGGTGACTAAATGATGACTGAATTTTCATTCTGGAAGTGAACTCCTCCTTTAATTAAAGATTGCGAGGTCACATGAATTTTAAATAAAATGTGCATGGATAAATCATTTGGAATGAACAATGCAATATTCCATAAAAACAAATTAGAACTGTCCATTTTGAATCTACAGTTTTATAATGTGGATCAATCAGTTTATCAATCAGGCTACGAACATTTCACCTGTACATTGTTTCCTTTTATGGAGCTTTGACACGGACATCATATTTCATGGCATTAAACAGCTCTGTTCATGTGACTGTTTACACCAGTCATGTATAAAGTTCACACAGAAACCAGACATTTTCATTTATAGGTAAAAACCGTGCAAAATGCAACTCGTTTGAGAGCCTTCAAACTCGAAAAGTAAATTGTCATGTTGCCAGCTGGGATTAAATCGCTATTCTAGTAGTTAATTTGGTAAATGTGCTGTGCTGTATGTCATTGACGTTTAAAAAATACAAATAAAGTGCAAAGTTCCAACGGGTTTTTTTGTTTGTTGTTGTTGTTTTTTGTTTTATTATTATTACTTTAGAAATACAGCCGATATATTCAGTTTATGTTTTCATTATTGTCTTCCTCGTGATAGGGCAATAATGTTTTGTGCTGTAATAAAAGTCTCCAGCATTTACAGTGCAAGGTTTTGCCGGATTTTAATGACGTCACGTAACTATACACCAATCAATATGTGGCACCGTTGTAGTGATGGGAAGTCCGGTTCTTTTCCGCGAACCGGTTCTTTCGGACAGTTCGTTTCAATGAACCGGTTCAAAAAAAACGGTTCATCGGTTCTTTTACGATGACGTAATGATAAGCTTAAGTAATTTGTGGATTAATGCTTACTGGAGACGCGAACCGTTTCAAATGATTCAGTCAGATTTGGTGAACTGGTTCAACCGGTTCACTAAGAAGAACCGGTTAAATCGAACGATTCGTTGGCGAACCGGACATCACTACACCGGTGTGGGAGGAAGAAAGTTTAAAATGTAGGACACACTCATTTTCATTCAGAGATCGAGGCGAGCTGGTGGACAGGAATCATGCTCGGCTTTAAAGTGTCTGTGCTGCTCTTCGCTGTATGCTCGCTGAGTAAATGCAGCGGCAGGTTTGCAAACTCCTGTAATTATCCACCTTCACAATGGTGCGACTCTCAAGACATTGCAGCCGAATGTGGGGTAAGTGACTCTTGCATTGACAAAACTTACGAATTCGTCCTTAAATTTCATAACACGAAACGATTAGGATGTTTTATTAGAATTTCCTTTTGTCAATAATTTTGCTAACTTGAAAAAATAAAACTGCATTTGAAGTTACATTAGAAAGGCTACACTGGATATGCAAATCGTCCTGACATGATGGGTCTATTTACACTTATCGTTTTTATGCTTTCCACTGTCTGGGAAATCCCGACGTTTTTTATTTATTTATTTATTTATTTTTTTGCATTTTTTGGGCATCAAAGAAGGCGGACGCCCGATTATTATGAACGAAGCTGAGTATTTCCCTTTATTCTCTTCTTTCTTAGGTGCTGGAACAATGCATGAAGTTTAACGTAACAAAGCCCAACGCTGCCCCGGTCAATGTGAGCCTGTACTATGAGTCTCTGTGTCCTGGATGCAGACAGTTTCTTGTATTGCAGCTCGTGCCAACCTTCATTATGTTGCAGGACATAATGGATATTGATTTGGTTCCATATGGAAATGCACAGGTATATTTACACTCCCAACTGTTGCTCAGACAGTTTACCCCAGTACAGACAGACATCACATTACTTCTATTTACATATTATATGACTAGCATCTATATCGCTATTTGCACTTAACAAGGTGTAAACGAGATATTTACTTCACAACTTCACAACTTGTAAACAGTATTAACATAATTTGCACCGTGCAAATAGCTACCAATTTCTTTTACACATAGTAAAAGTAAAACTAATAAGTTAAATAAATGTTAAAATGCTGTTCGTAATGTTTTCGCAATAGGAGAAAGAAGATCAAGGGAAGTACATCTTCACTTGTCAGCATGGAGAGGATGAATGTCTAGGTAACATGATTGAGGTGAGATTTTGCCATTGATTTCACCCCTAAAGCTTTTTAAAGCAGATTGATGTTAATATTGGAGGCATCTTGTTTGAATTTGAAATGCAGGTATTATAATTGTAGTCTTATCTATCAGACCTGCTTGTGGAGTATGTTAGGAATAAACGCTTTTCCAGTCATTTTCTGCATGGAGTCAGGAGTAGATGTGCTGAAAGCTGCCCAGCCTGTAAGTATTTTACCTTCTCTTATTTTATTTATTATTTATTGTAAACCCCAATGCAATGCTAATCTGTACCTCTTATCTCAGTGTCTCGGAGTCTACTTTCCTGATACAAAGTGGGATTCAGTCATGAATTGTGTGAAGGGAGAGGAGGGCAATAAATTAATGCATCAAAACGCAGTGAAAACAAATGCTCTGAAACCCCCTCATGAATATGTGCCTTGGATAACTGTTAATGGAGTAAGGATACGTATTTGTTTATTTATAAGGAAAATGTTTTTTTTTTTGTTCAGTGTTTCCTGGTGATTAAATGGCACATTGTTGTTCCTGCAGGAACACACAGATGCTCTTCAGGATAAAGCGATGGCATCTCTCTTCAATCTTGTGTGCAGCTTGTACAAGGTTTGTTTGTAAACCTGTTAGTGTTTATGATCATTTTAGTGTTTTATCTAGTCAACGAAGAGTCCATCACATGATGTCTTCATTCTTTGTGTTCATACAGGGTGACAAACCACCTGCTTGTGGTCAAGGGTTGAAGAAGAAAACCAACAGTTACTGCATGAACTAATCAATCACTACGATAACAGTGTCAAGAATGGAGAAAATGCATGAAACACAAGCGAATACATGCTGCAGTGTTTTGTTGTTATCTTTTTATGGTTGTATGTACATGAAACCCTAATTTTGTACATGGTTTTCGGCTGCAAATGACAACTGGTGACAAGACTGTATGTTTATCCAGTCACATTTTAAAACTGTTTTGTATGCATAAACAAAATTTAAAAAGCAAATTTCCATCACCTTTGCATTTTTTTAGTTTTAATTTACTTGTTGTGTTAATGTTTAAGAAATCAGTCAATGCTAAAGTGGACTTTACTCAAGAGAAATGCTTCCTCAGTGGTTTCACATTTTTGCCTATTAACCCGAGTCCTACATTATTTTGACCTACAAAGAAAGTGAAAATACTTTGGGTTTATAAATATAACAGCTAACGTTAATATAAAAACTATTAATAAAGAGTAGGCACTCGAAAATGAAGAAATGATGAGCTGTAATCCGTGTTCAAACGGGAGGAAACTATTGATGGGTCAAACTGATGTAGCGACGTTTTGCGCAACCAAGACGCAATCTTGATGTCCTTGAGGGAATCACGCGTGTGCCTAGTCACCGGCTAATGCGAGCTCCGCTGGGTTATTATGAATTAAAGCTAAAGATCTGCATGTGTTAGAGATCTAATTGCAGCCGAACTGGACAATTTGGGGATATCGGAACAACTCTATGTTTTATTTATCTATCTGAGAGTATTAAGGAAGATGCATTCCTTTCCATTTTAAGTTAGTAAAACTTCTCAGTATTTAAACATGTTTTGGGGTACCTTACGCCATATATAAACGGACAGAAGTGGCGAATGAAGTCGTCAAGCGTTGATCGATCGCAAACTTGACAGGAATGTAAGTTAAATCGACCTAAACATGATATCTCGTCAGAGTAAGGATTTTCTCATAAGGATCGCCGGTTACTGGAAGCCGCTTTTCAGAGGCAGATTTCTGATCGTGACGAACACGGTGAGCAGCGGAGGGATGTTGGCGGCGGGCGATTTCATCCAGCAGACACGGGAGAGACGGAGGACGCCCGGCCGAGCACGTGACTGGTCGCGTACAGGTGACAACACAACTAATTGTTACCAAAAACCTTGGGCTTGTTAAAAAATGAGATAATCTTTGTCATTTCTGTGCCATTGGGTAGTTACTTAAAACGTTTTCTTTCTTTCTTTTTTTGTTATGGTATCGTGTGAATATCCTGTCATAAAAAGTAACGCGAAATTTATGAACTCTCGCGGTGTTGCGCCCCCATAGGTTGTATGTTTGCCGTCGGATGCTCTATGGGTCCCTTCATGCACTACTGGTACCTGTGGCTCGACAAATACTTTGTAGGCAATGGCATCAGTAATGTCTGCAAGAAAGTGCTTACCGATCAGCTGGTCGCATCGCCAGCACTGGGAGCCTGGTACTTTCTAGGTAAAACCATTTTCTATTTGAATATATTTTAAAATGTTAGCATGATTTCTGACGGATCATGTGACACTGAAGACTAGAGTAATGCCTGCTGAAAATTCAGATTTGCCATCAAAAGTTACATTTTAAAATATATTAAAATAAAAATGTAGGCTATTTTAAATTGCAATAATATTTCACAGTATTACTGTTTTTAATGTATTTTTAATCAAATAAATACAGAATTGGTGAGATTTCTTTCAAAACATCAAAATCTTTATTCCTGTAGTGTAAATTTTACAGTTGGATGCTTAATGATATTTGAGATTTATAATGTAAAAAAAAATGAAGTATGAATATTACACCTGCTTGTTTATTTATTTATTTATTTATTTATGGAGGTATGGGTATGATGGAGGGTCACACTTTGTTTGAGGCACAAGCAGAATTCAGAGACAAATTCTGGGAGTTTTACAAGGTATGTTGCACTGTTAAGCATCTGTCCTTAGTTCAACCAAATGACTTAAGTTCATAGCTGACAACGTTTCATAACATACTTCTTTTTAGGCAGATTGGTGTGTTTGGCCAGCAGCTCAAATGGTAAACTTCTACTTCTTGCCACCCAAGTTTCGTGTCCTTTATGTGAATATAATTACCCTGGGATGGGACACTTACCTCTCCTACCTCAAACACAGTAAGAAAGGTTGCATCTGTCACATAACACATGGCATCACATAATAATACATTTGTGAGAATTACTTAACAATATTACTTAATTAATAATATAGTCTTGGTTTATTTAACTTCTGGCAAGATAAAAATGAAAGTGAGACTCTCTCCTCCCTGGTGTAAGCTTCCTTGTAACAGGAGATAAATTACATTTGTGTTTTTCCAGGAGACCAAGTAGAGGCCACAAAAGAAGCTGAGTGAACTGCCTGAAGATGTCTGAAGAAAGAGAATATTTAAAAACTCCGCTTCAATCACGAAAAAAATAATTAAATCTTATTATTCAAGACTGTTAATGGACAGCTTTTTGTTTTTAAATTTCACATAATATAATTCATATCATTTTATCCCGTAATACCAGGTACATTGGCAAAATAAATAAGGTTACTTGCCATTGATATTTTGTTTTTTAATAATTTACAAAGTATTGAAAAATGTATTTGTCCAAAATCTGTGTATTTTTGACATGTGAAGGGCAGTTTATAAAATCACACTGTTTACATTATATTCTTATAATAGTATAGAATACAGTTTTTATAGTAATCTATAGTTATAGTTATCATGCAATTAATCACAGTAATTGCTGATATTATTTTCATATACAGTACATTGGAGAAATGCTGTAACAGATGCTGCATAGGCAGTAATGTTACTATTGATTGTTACTATTACTATTATGTTCATAAATTGCCTTAACACGTACATTTTTGCCTAATTAATTTGTATTTTTTTTATGATAAATTTATCCGTTGGATAGAACTTTTGATGTCTGCTTTGTCATTATGTGAAACTACTTGAATTTATGATTATTTAATGGAAGAAAATAAAATGATTGAATATTACTATAAATTAGAGTCAGATTTAACTCTATATTTATGCATTATAACTTGAACTTTGAGGTTGAATCTAAATTTAAAAATTAAAAAATAAAACTTTTATTCATCTATCAAGGCATCTGTCTTTCCGTGGTGTATGACAGTTTTTGACAGCACGTGATCTGCTCTGCTGTCAGCAGCACAGACAAACCTGCTGAGTGAGAGTGACAGGACGCTGCTCATATTCATAGGGGCTCCCAAACTGTGATAAAACAGGTGTTCTGACAGGATGTTCTCACAAACCATTTGCTCTTGAGCTATAAAGGTTACTTACCACAGGCTTGGAAAACAACATTTATTTATTTTTATTTTTTGGAAGAGACCAGAATGCAACTCTCATGGATTGAAGATGTGCTTCAAAAATATATTTGTGAAATGACTTTTTTTTTTTTTTTTTTGGAAGAAAAACACGATACATCTTACCAGATCTTCTCAGTTTTAGTGGTAAGTCTTATTTGCTGCACATTTGAACCGTCATTATTAAAATAGTAATTTTGATTGTTATATTGATTGGCCTATTTATTGACTGGTGCTTAGTGTTTCTTATTATCTTTATATTATTTAACTGTATAGTCCTGTAGAAAGTATTTTTTTCAGGCACCTGAAAAAGTAGAGTTTCTACTTTCTGAATAGATTTATTGTTATTTATCATGAAGCGTGTATTTTCAGAGTTGCCTCCCATTTCAACAATATGAAGAGAAGTTCTTCTTTGAAGTCTTTCTGGACATCAGAGGTGGGTTATATCAGTTCATCAGGCTCACAGTCATCCTGTCTGCTTTGATTCTCAATAGATTCACTGTGACTATGCAGATCACCAGTTTAAGTGAAAAGTGAAAGTGACGTGTGGCCAAGTATGGTAACCCATACTCAGAATTTGTGCTCTGCGTTTAACCCATCCAAGTGCACAGAGTGGGCAGCCATTTTTGCTGCTGCACCCAGGGAACAGTTGGGGTTTCAGTGCCTTTCTCAAGGGCACCTCAGTCGTGGGTAATGACAAGCAATCCCTCCTGGTACTAAGACTCAAACCCACGACTTTTGGGTTACAAGTCCGACTCTCTAACCATTAGGCCACGACTGCCCCCATACGAAGTCATTGAAGTGCACCCTAAGATTTCTATCAACAGGTATTATATGATATTATTTAATTGAAAAAAAACAAAACAAAAAGGAAATACCTTTACTTGGTTATTTGACGTCATATTATTATTATTATTATATATGTTACCTTAATATGGTGGAACGCTGCTTCAAACGTTCCACCATCATCCCTGTACCCAAGAAACCAAAAATCACAGGACTTAATGACTACAGACCTGTTGCTTTAACATCTGTAGTCATGAAGTCATTTGAGAGACTGGTGTTGGCCTGCTTGAAGGACATTACTGGACCCTTGCTGGAGCCCCTGCAGTTTGCTTACCGAGCAAACAGGTCTGTGGATGATGCAGTCAATATGGGATTGCACTACATCCTCCAACATCTGGACAAACCAGGGACTTGTGCAAGGATCTTGTTTGTGGACTTCAGCTCCGCTTTCAACACCATCATCCCGGACACCCTTCAGAAACACCTGGCGAATAAAGCTAATTCTGATTCTGATTCTGATTAATAGTAATTATGTCAACATTAGCCTACACCTGTCTTCTGTGCTGTTCTAGACAGAGATCATGTATTGGTGCAGATTAAATACCTTCTCTATTTAATTCAGAGAGAATGGGACCCTGTGAACCAGAAGGGCCTGCACGAATCCAAATCCATGCCTGGTCACCGTACAGTTAAGAGGACATTTTCAGGGGTCCTTCAGCTTCCCCGTCTGTCCCGCCGACTTTTGGCTCAGGGAGATTCAGAGAACACACCCCGCAAGACCACCTTCTCCCTCGGCATCCCCAATGGCCTGGAGTCCGAGACTTTTCAAAGTTCATGGTAAACTGCTCTTTTTGTTTTCTAAAGACACTTTAGATGACTTAATCTTAAGCAGTGATTTTACGAAAGGTTTCTTAATTTTGGGTAGCTTTGTACATTTTGCAAAGAATGAGGAAAATCATGCAATCTGCTTATAAACTTAGTGTATTCTTAAACTTGGACCTCATTATTGAAGCACAAATCCAAGCACCAAAAGCAGCCCACACTCTGAGTCTCTAAGTTCTCTTTAATTAAAATTTTTCATTCATTCATAGGCTATATGGTTGCAATAACATTTTAGTTACAAATTTTGCCATTGTTTAAAAAAAAAAATGCTTTATTGACTGGCATTTCAGACTTTCAGTTATGCTTTCAAATTTATGCCATATAGTCATGTATGTAGGCTATGTAATTTCACAGCATATCCACCTCCTAAATTACTACACCACTGGCGTCACAATTCTATAATGGTGCAATTTACTTAGGCTGATAGTTTGTGTGTAACACATGACATTTGTTTTTTGTATGACATTCAAATTATTTTTAGAATAATTGTACATAAATAGGTTAAGCAAAATGTGATTATTTATGAGAACCTTTTATACACCTTTTATACATATACTTAACTGCAGACACGGAAATGACATACACTATGTGGTACAACACAAATATTTTAGTGTCCCTTATTCTGTCCCTTATTTTTCTATAAAGAATCACAATTGTCCCTTATTTTCCTTTACTGAAGTTGCCAACCCTACACATGACCGTTCGTCATGTACCTGTTTTCAAAAGGGTGGCTTCATGTCAGCAACTTTAGATGGAGACGGAGCACTCACTGTTGTGCATGTTGTTTCGTGACTAATATAAGCAATAAAGACTTCTAATTTCATTAAATGTACAGTGAGCTACATCAGTACTGTAATAATAGTTGTTACATGTCTATATACTGTATACTTCAATTTTTCAGTAATTGATGTAGTATCCGGAGCCAGAAATTGACGTTTTGCACAGAGACAGAAGAGGGAGCTATTTTTCCCTAAAGACCAGAAAAATAACTCTTGACAATAAAACAGTCAAGACAAAAAGTCATAAACAGACTTAGTAAATGTGCAGCTACACATGAACTTTGAAGACATTAACTTGAAGTTTTGTTTATACTGCCATAAAATGTTAGCAATATAGGCTTAAAACTTGATGCATTTTTCCTCACATTACAGTGGCTTTCAAAATGTATTTAAAATGTCTAAACTGTCACACTTAAAAAATCTGAATGTCACTGCACACATAACAAAACACCAAACCAAGCAAAAAAATAAACCCAACAGGGTTACCACAGGGTGTAGTTTATCACCTTAGCTATGAAAATGATTCACTAATGTCTGATGAGATTGAAGTATTCATTTCCTTTTTAGGGGAAAAAAAAATCTTACTGACCACAAACTTCTAAACGCTAGTGTAGGCTATATGTGACCCTGGAGCACAAAACCAGTCTTAAGTCACTGAGGTATATTTGTAGCAATAGCCAAAAATACACTGTATGGGTCAAAATTATTTATTTTTCTTTTATGCCAAAATCATTAGGATATTAAGTAAAGATCATGTTCCATGAAGATATTTTGTAAATTTCCTACTGTAAATATATTAAAACTTAATTTTTGATTAGTAATATGCATTGCTAAGAACTTCATTTGGACAACTTTAAAGGCGATTTTCTCAATATTTAGATTTTTTTGCACCCTCAGATTCCAGATTTTCAAATAGTTGTATCTTGGCCAAATATTGTCCTATCCTAAAAAAACATACATCAATGGGAAGCTTATTTATTCAGCTTTCATGTGATGTACAAATCTCAATTTCAAAAAATTGACCCTTATGACTGGTTTTGTGGTCCAGGGTCACATATTGTTTTAAAAAATGGAAACCTGAAAAAAATTCTAATTAAGAGTTGTAATTTTTATTATAATGTTTGAATAAAGGATTTAATGTTTTGTTTTGTAATGCAACAGACATTTTTAAGTGTCTCTAAAGTATTCAAAACCTTTTTCGGGGCCACTGCATGCGTATTGTTTTTGCATACACAACTCATCCAGCAGTCAGAGGATCACAGGGAACCTTTCCCCTCTGATAATCAAAGCCCATGGGGCCCGTGATAGAGGGCCATCGTGACATGAGCCATGCTCTCTGTCTGACTTTATCTGACTTTGCTTTTTATAGTCAGAGCTTTCATGTGACTTCTCCTGGTAAACCTGGAGCATGTGAAAGGCATACGCATTTCTTGGAGGAAATCTGCTGGTTAGTTGGCTTTTCTGCACACCAGGGGACTGGAACGGGAAGTCATTATAGACCAGTAAACACTGGACCTCGCACACTAATAGTCTTAATGCGGAGGTGGGGCCACTTTGTGAGCTCTATCATGGAGTCCTCTCATTGTAAATCACACTGCCATATTTAGTCTGTTGGAGGGAAGTCTTCCTAGTTATGTAAACAAGGCGAGTTCACGAGGGGAGATGTTCCATTGCTATGATGGCTGGCTCCATTAATGCGCCTGTGATCTCTGAAGCAAGGCTGGATTTCTCAGCTCTAGTGAAGGGTGAGAGATGTAGACTGTGGTTTTTGTGTTGAGACAGCAGTGTGAGTGAGCGACCCATGCCACGACTAGACACTTGTTTTGCCAGTTGTGCAGACACAGGATCTCTGCTGTCATGAGTGACATGCTCTCAGAGAGTTTGGAAGAGGAGAGACCTCAGAGGCCCTCGCATCTCAAGATGAAGGGAAACTCTCCCACCGGCTCCCCCAAAATGTCTCCGCGGGACTCTCCTCGGAGTTCGCCCCGCAACTCGCCTCTGCTCTTCCGCAGACTGATGATGAACCGCAGCATTGCTTTGCAGAGACGCTTCACTTTGGCTCACACTCCCAGGTAGGATCTGAATCATTCTGAATCATTCATTTAGCCTCTTACCGGGAGGCTTGGCTTCAAAAACACACACAGGAGTCTTGTGGCGCAGGCATCTACGTAACAACATATCACAAGGCAAATTTTGTGGCTGCCTGAGACATTCGCCCGCCGTCCAAAGTTTGTATTGATGCTAACACTTCTAGCTACAATAATAACCACTATAATCAAGGAGGTGGTTTGTCTGCTGTGTGGAAGCATAAAAAGATGTCTTTGTTTGGGAGGATGTCTTGACCTGAAGTGGTTATTGTCAGCCTATCTCAACAGCAATCAAATGAACTGCTTTTTATCCATGTAGTTATACTGGTTCTGTCTGTTAAGCCTGGTAAAGTCCAACCAGGTAGTAAAATTAACTCAGGATTAAATTAGCTCTTAACTTCTTGAGATAACTGGTTTTATTGATGTCAATCTTCAAACACCAGCAATTATAATATTCACATTGTTTGAATCACGTGATTCTTCACCTTCAGTGTTTTGAGGTCAAAAAAAGATATAAAGAAATAATCTTTTCTGACATTCACGTTTTGCTGAAAAATCTATTACTTAGCATTAGGGTAACACACAGTACCATTTAAAGGTTTGGGGTCAATAAGACTTTTTTTTTTTATTAAGAAATTAATACAATTATTCAGCAAGGACATATTACAAACTGATCAAAAGTGACCATTTACAATATTACAAAAGATTTATATTTCAAATAAATGCTGTTCTTTTGAACATTTTATCCATTAAAGAATCCTGAAAAAATGTATAGAGTTTCCACAAAAATAATAAGCAGCACAACTGTTTTCATCGTTGATAATAAGAATCGTTTCTTGAGCATCAAATCAGCATATTAGAATGATTTCTGAAGGATCATGTGACACTGAAGACTGGAGTAATGATGCTGAAAATTCAGCTTTGCAATCACAGGAATAAATTACATTTAAACTATATTAAAATGGAAAACACTTATTTTAATTTGTAATAATAAAAAATATAGAAACTGTAGTTTTGATCAAATAAATGCAAATAAAAGTTTTGGTGAGCTTAAGAAACTTCTTTCAAAAACATTTTAAATCTTACCGGCCTTGAACTTTTGAATGGTAGAGTATAACTGTAAAATGGAGGGGAAAAAATACTGTCAGGCCTGAAAAGCAAAAAAATTCAGAACTTGCAAACCACACTGACAACCTAAAATGTATTATTTGACACAACTGCTGACTTAGGTATATCAAGGTCCAAAAACTACACTGTACATATGTTTTGAGAGGTAACCTAAAAATATAACATTCAGCTAAATAACATAACATTAAATAAAAAAATTACACTATAAAATGATGATCACTAATTTGGCTTCCAGCAATGCAGTCTGTATGAATGTTTACATGCACTAATACCCAAAAACAAAAAGTACAAAACAAAAAAAGAAAAAAAAAACATATAATGCAGAACAAAGTCTGTTCAAATCCTTAAAACTGGACTTTTGGAAGCCAGTGCCAAAATATTTCTCTAACGCCTGTGCCTTTGACATGTTACAGCCTCTGCTGTTTCTGTGTCTGTTAAACTTCCAAGATTTGAGGAAGTCAGAGCCTGACAACACTGTAAACATCCCCAGCCATGCACGCACACGCAATAAATGTTGAGAAATAATTAGCAGAGCTCAGAGGAGGTGTAATACTTGAAAACTGTGAAATAGACATTACTTCAAATATTTATTAACTGCTTACAGTTATCAAGTTTTTTTTTCCAAGAGGTGACCAGTGAACTCCGAAGTTGTTTATCTGAGAATAAATCTGCAAGAGAACCGTTTCAGCTGAAATGTTTAAACACAGGTCACCGTGTTCATGTCAGCTGGTTTGTGTGATGTAAGTGGAAAGAGTCAACCTGTCATCTGTCTAATGGACTCTAAAGCAGTTCTCTTGGCTCGGTGAACAGTGGAAGTCCACACAGGTCAAATGTGACTTTTAATGCTGAAAAGATCTTTCTTGTGTGTGTCAAGGATTTGCGAGAAAGAAAGAAACAGGCTGTTGGAGAATTATGACAGGATGGTGAAGGAACGGGAACGATTAAACAAGCCATATCTCTGTCAGAATACTGTCCGCAAGAGATGAAGCAAATCGGAGCGAGAGACTTTATTTAACATTTAGTGTCAGGAACTTTAAAGTGTTTTTAACATAATGTTACAGGGTTATAATAACAGAAGATCTGTTTGCTCCAAGAAGTCCTTCACAGAGTGGTAATGTATCTTCAGGAGCTTTTCTGGTTCTTAATTCAAGATGTCCACTGGAGATTAACGCATCTCACATTGGCAAATATTTTGACCCATGCATCCCTCAATATTTAGCGAGCTGTTTCTGCGCTACGCTGCACTTACAAAGCATGTGAGTTCAGTGAAGTAATATAATCTGAACTGTGGGTATTTTAGAGAAGAAATAAAACTTCCCCTTGTTTATTTACTAAAGGCTTTTGACAACTAGAATTCAAAGGGTGCGGCTTTGTTACAGCTTCCTCTGCTTTAACAACTCTCCAGAGATGCTCGATGTGTTTTGGATCCAGAACTTGTGTGTAAGGTTCACGCTGCTCTTGACATTCTTCTTGAGCGTTATGCTGTTGTGTCCTGATCTGCCTCTCAAGACTGTTTGGCCAATATCAACAACCTGAGTTCAAGTGCCTGCAGTGGCCCTCATCCTCCCTCATCCTCGCCCCACCCATAAACAGATCAACTACAACTTTGTCTCTTCTCTCCTCCTGTCACCTACAGGCTGCCAAGTCATCTGCATGTATTTTTGCAAACATATAAGAACTGTAGGTTCTCTTGTAGTAGGGTAGTTGACAAATACTCCAAACTGCTTGTCCTGTATGTAGGGTAAAGGGGTGGGGGAGCTTATCTCAGCATCTCAGGACATTATTATAATAGATTTTATATTATTTTATAGAAAATGTATAGAAAAAAACGCCATTAAAACTGTTTTAGAGGTTAAAAATATATCACACTGCAGGCATTTTAGGACAGTTTTTAAAAATCAATGCTGATGATTATCTTTCTGTTATGTGGAGGCATGCAAGATTGGATAAATTAATAATGGAAATAGTATAGTATAGATTTTTAATTTATATTTTTTAGGGTAATATATATTTGCAGTTCATAATAAGGATAGTCAGACTGCAGGATTATTTTCATGTTCAGTCACCTGAATTACTACAAAAAAAAGTTTATGTTTATGGACAAAATATAAGAGAAAAAAAATAAAAGGAAAATGACAGTAAAATGTCAAGTCAACTGCTCAATAGGTTTGAAGGAGCCTCATTTTGTACTTTCTTTTGTAAGTGGAAAATATATATTTTGTGTCCACTAGACGGTAGAGATGAGTGGCTTTTCCTTATCTTCCCCTCACCTGACGTTGTCATTTAGTATTGGTTTGCAAGATATTTTCTAATATTATCTTGTTCTTTTAATACAGACCATCCAAACCACTGTTATCTCGGTTAATGTAAAGACTACACACAACGTTTTATATTCTACAGAATTTAAGCTGCAAACATTTTTCTTGTCATAATTCTTAACACACACACACACACACACACACACACACACACACACACACACACACAAATAAATAAAAAAAATAAGAACAAATTGATTGATTGATTGCAAAGTACAAAAAGTTGAGTTTAGGATTGTTGAGCCTCATCTCACTCAGGACACACTGTCACAAACCGACCCATGAAAAATACCTTATATACACATGCACCAGTGCTACAGAGTTTCTCTCTCTGCGTTCCTCTCTCCCCCTTCCCTCCACCCTCTATCTTTCTGTCTCTCTCTCTATCAAAGGCTGGTTGTTTCAGGCCAGAGTTTAGTTTCAGGACTTTGGATTCAGAGAATGGCACCAGGAGGCTGGATGGGACAGCACACTCTGTGGAGCATCTGATGGGATTATGAGCCTCTCACCTCCATTTTGGAGCTTTTCCCCACAGATTTTCAGACTTTTATGCAACTAATAAAATATCAGCAAATAACTTTTGTAAGTTTTGGAGCATACTTTTTTGTTAGGCATTTTTTCCCTGTTATGCTCTTCCTTTAAGGACTTTAAGGATTCAGCAAGGCAAACTTAAGAGTGTTGTGATTTCCCAAAGACTTTCATCCAGGACTTGGTGCACTGTAGAGGCTATGGTGAGCCTTTATGCTGGTGATATAGTGGATTTTTTTAAGTTTATTTCAAGTTCCCAGAGTGCCCAGCTAAACTCTGTTGAATTTTTGTTCATCAAGATTGTCTCAGCACAATGTTTCTCAGCGGATGGAGACACTGGGAACATAGCAGACATGAGATGAGACGAGAAATCTTCTGAGGTGTCTAAGACACATCCTTGCTGTCCAAAATCGGACACACTTTCCGAGTTTTAACTATAGTATTCAAAAGTTAGTGTAATTCTCTCTCACAATGAGTAAAGACCTTCGTTTCCCCAGGAAGGCAATGCAGGTGAACTATTCAACGCGGCGGCACTCATGCATTGGGTATGTATAAGCAACAAAAGCAACATTTATCTTCACCATAATTTGAGTTGGTTATGTGCTAAACTCAGTTCTAAAGCTTAATTTATTAGATTTTATTGATTAAGTAATGACCTTGGTGGAACTTTTTTTTTTAGCAGAAAAGTGGTGGAACTTTTTTTGAGCAGGTTTTCTGAGCAAAAAATACCTTTGTTAAAGTGTCTGTGTTGCACCATGTCATTGTCCTATGTTGTAAATGTAATTTTTGCTGTGTTGATGAGCACTTGGACAATGTGAAAGAATGAGATTTACACTGTGTGAATATGTTGTTTTTTTCAGTGCTCTGTTCTGGTTGGTTTTTCTTGTGTAAGAGAGTCCTGAAGCAAACCAGTCCACTGGATTTCTGACATCACTAACATAAGCTCTGAAATGATGAGTGCACCTTCTAGTGGAGAGAGCTGCTCTGGATTTATTTAGACCTCCCTCTTCCTCTGCAAGCACTGTTATACATAGTATGACAGTGTTAAAGTAGGCAGAGAGCAGCAATGGCTGTTATGTGTTGTGTAACTGCTATAGCTGTGGCCTGGACAGCCTGAGGCCAGTAGAAGTGGAGAATCGATGGTTTAGCCAGTGTCTGTTGATGTTCACCTGTAGCGGGAAGGCAGAGTCACAATGGGTAGGCACACTGCGACTTTACGCGCACAGTAACCTCTGTACTATCCAGCATAATGTAAATTATGTAATGTATTACGCTCTTGTACTCTATATGCAATCTTTACAGTTTGCATGTTGTTTAAAATGATCATATTCTAACACACATGCACAGTAGATGTCACTCTACATTTTGTGAGACTGATTACAAAGAAATGCTCTTTCCAAACATGCTAAAGAAAGTTAAACTACCATTCAAAAGTTTGGGGTCAGTAAGAATTTTTTTGTACTCAGCAAGGACACATTAAATGGATCAAAAGTGACAGTAAAGACAATGTTACAAAATATTTATATTTCATATAAATGCTGTTCTTTTGAACTTTCTATTCATCAGAGTCATGTTATTCGTGTTATGCATGATTAGTTGAAGATCACAGTCAAGACACCAGTGTTCACAGCCACTATGTGCGGTGATTTTATTGTGAAGTCTGAGCAGTATTTACCTCTTGTAAAGCAGATTCGTTTGAGCCTCTTTGAAACACTGCCACTCTTCAATCTATGGCTCTCTAAAGGACCTGTCACAACTCCGCACAGCGTATCACAGAGTTACACTGTTTACAAGAGAGTCTTTTCATTTAGAGACAGCACTCTTACTCTCCACGTGACTCAGACAAAGCTGTTACTTGTTTCCTAGATGCGTATCACAACAATAGCCATTTAAAGCAGAGCAAGCAGTGTTGTAGAGCATCAGCATGAAAATAGAGGACTGGATATTGACACACACTGCATAATTAATGGTATTTAATGATTGATAGACATTTGTAATTATATTAGGACACATTGAATGCCGCAGCAAAAAAATGGCTGCCCACTGCTCCGTGTGTGTGTTCACTGCTGTGTGTGTGTGCACTTTGGATGGGATAAATGCAGAGCACTAATTCAGAGTATGGGTCACCATACTTGGCCACATGTCACTTCCCACTTATGCATGTTTGGTGTGTTTATGTAGCATTTACATCGTTTTGACCAATAGGTGTCGCCAATTTTGGTAAAAAAATGGAAGTTGAGCAGTTGTTGATTTAGTTTCTCACCAACTGAGAGCTAGACACATCCATCTGGTGATTTGTGTTGCATTCAATTATTTAACTTCATACAAGTTACTTCCAGTTATGTTTAGTTTTTTTTCAGTGCGTCTTTTCTACAAGTTACATTGTTACGCCAGTAGTTTGAGTGAGTCACTGAATCATTCTTTCAACTGATACATTCAAAACACTGATTCATTCAGGAACTTTGACTAGTTTGTTGTTCAGAGACGCAGCTGCTCTGTGGTGTTTTCGTTTGGAGCTATTTTCGGTGGCAACACAAAAACAGACAAAGCAACAGCTAATACTAAAATGTAAGTAACTCAATATTATTGAGCTGTTGTATAAAAGCAATATCCCATTATGACTAATTCTAAGATATTTTTGGTTTAGCTTGGACTGCACTTGAGCCTTGCTGCTATGCGAGTACAAAAGAGGACAAGCAATTGTACTAAAAACGAAAAACGTTTTCCTTTGCATTTTTGAAAAGTTTCAAGTACAGTTGGCAACATTGTCCACAGAATGGATTTTTATGTCTAAAGTTGAACTTCTTTTGACTTCAGCTTCAAGTTTTAGAACACCATTTAGACAGAAAATAGTAGAAAAGCAGCACAATGGAATGCAAACATGAATGGCCACTGTCTGAGAATGCTAACCTGAGCTAAAAATCAGAATGACTTGAATAATATTGGGTATATTTTGCATTGTATCTCAAGACTGTTCTCAGCTTTAAAGCTGTGGTAGTTGCTGCTCCTTCATTGCACCGGCTCAGCAAATAACTTTGACTCCACATATTAAGAGTAGCACCTTGCTGAGTCGTTCTAAACCGATGTCGAAAGAGAAAGTCAAGTGAGGTGAACCAATCACAGGACAACAGTGTCAGTATACAGCGGACCCAAAAATAAAACCTCAGAGCTCAGAATAGTCGATAGGCGCTGACGCTGTGACCAGAGTCGCTGTGCGTCACTGTTCTGCTCCATATTTTCAGCATGGCTGCTTTCCCCAATGACTCCCACTGCGCATTGATCTGTCAGCCTCTCTCACGGATGACGGGAACCCTGCCAATCTGTCTGCTATTTCTCCATTAGAAACCAGCAATCTAATCAAATTTTTTTTTAACCCGGCTGTTTTTGGAAATCTGTTGCAATGCTCTTAGATTATAGGCTGGTGACATCTACTGGTGAAATCATATAACTGTAAAAGTCACAGTAATAATTTGAGTGTTGACAAAAAATTAACAGCAGTGCAGTTTAGACTAGCACCTACTAGTTTAAACTGTGTGATTCATCTCATCTTAAACTATTCTAAGCTGGTTTGCTTGTCTTAAATGGTCTCCCAGCGTGGCACTTACTTGGTTTAACTAGTTGGCCAATCAGACCAGCTGAAACGTGTCCAAAACTTCTCTAAAATCTGCTAGAAAACTTGTTCAAGGTGTTTTGTTTCTGAACAGGGATGGAAAAGTACAGTGTTATTGCCCAGGTTTTTTTTTTTTTTTTATATGGTACCATGGTAATACCACATAATTGTTTTCCACATAAGTACCTTGGAGTACCAAATAAATTCCATGGTACATAAATAATTCAGTACAATGGTAAATATCAAAATAAAATGGTATTGCCATTTGGCACAATCAATCTACCACATGGCAGTACTGTAACACATTTAAGAGATGGGAAAGGTGGGCTGAGCTCATGATTTGTTAGTCTGGGTTTGGTTTATGTGGTCTTCCAGATGGTTAATTGTAGTACTTTTCTCACCAGCAGGGGATGCAATGGTCTAATGTAAATGCATCACATTATGAATGAATGAAGGTCAATTTACACATCTGCCTGTTACAAAATCATTTAAAAATTAAAAGTTGCATCTACACTGCAATTCATTAATTTCTTAGCACAAAACCAGTTAAATATGTGCTTCTAAGACTTTTTTTTTTTTGTTGCAAAAGCATCCTTGCCTGAGAATTATGAGCAGAACTAAAATCACACTATGATTTTATCACAGTTTCCATTTTGTGGAGCAAAATTTATCACAGGAATTTGGTGACAACACTTTCAGCTGCTAGCCAGACGTGCTGTTAGTCAAGCATCAATGTGACAAGCCTGTGACGTCAGCACAGTGATGTGCATGCTTCATGCATGCTGTGACATCTGGCTGGAGATTCATGCATCCTCTGAGTCTCAATCCTGGCAAAAGCCATTTGTTTGCCCACAGATGGCAAAGCTGAATTTTCAGCAATCATTACTCCAGTATTCAGTGACATATGATCATTCTAATATGCTGATTTGGTGCTCAAGAAACATTTCTTATTATTATGGATGTGCAACAGTTTTGTGGAAATCGTAAAGCATTTTGTTTTTAAGCAGTATTTGAACAGAATGTTCAAAAGAACAGCATTTATTTGAATTAGTGAAAGTAATGTGTAGCCGAGTATGGTGTCCCATGCTCAGAATTTGTGCTTTGCATTTCACCCATCCAAGTGCACAACATTAAGTCGTGGTATTGAGGGTGGAAGACAATCCCTGCCGGTACCGACACTCGAACCCACACCCTTTGGGTTACAAGTCCAACTCTCTAACCATTAGGCCACGACCTAACTGTTGTAACAATTTAAAAGTCTTTACACTTTTGGAAGAAGAAGAAAAAAAAAACTTTGAACAGATTTTTTTTCCCTATGCATAGATGAGGAGAAAAAGAGGCTGAGAGTCTGTACCAGTACCAGCACTGAGACGTTGGCCAGGTATAAACACCTGAAGTCTGTTTGCTATCTGGAGCTGATAGATTTCCAGGACACTGACTTAAAGTCTGAACACTCACATTATAACCCAGAATAATAATAAAAAAGAAGCACTGAGGTGAGCTTCAGAGAATTTTTCACTATGCTGCGGAGCCAAGAATAATAATTGACATCATCTTGACCTCGGGACTTTCATTCCTCACACGGTAATCTGTTAAGAAAATTTCATTTTTACGCTGGGTTTCAATCCGTCACAGTAATTCGTCATACATTGCGCTGTGGAAAATGTTTTATTAATTCCTGGAAAATCATAACTACATCTGTAGTCATACTGACATTATCAACATACAGCACCTGATCAATCAGTTTTGTTTGAATTTTTAACATTGAATTTAAAGAACTACAGTATGTAATGCATCTCTTTGGCAGGTTTATTAAACTGGAAAGTTTTGAGCTGTTAAAAAATTAAAAGCAGATTCCAAACAGTCAAAAATCTCATTAAAAACATCTTTGCTGAAAATGTTTCTTAAATCAATACAAACCTGGCCACTGGCTGC